ATATTCTTGATTCAATTTCTGCATATACTGTGTATGTTACTAGCATATTATGTTATCACAATGAAAGAAAAAATGCCATTCTTTATCATTTTAAAAGACCTTGCCAATAAGTTTAGAGGAAGGTTTGCGTGTTTGGGGTTGAAATAGACCTCGAGGGAAATTGATCCGGGCTACCAAGTTGTGTTTCGGGCTAGTAAATTTTAGAAATAACCAGCCTGGTAGCTAGTAATGCAGGTAGCCAGGTGTCGAACCCTGTTTGTATGTTGAAAGATATTATATAGTGGGTTAAACAATTTATTTATCTAGTGTTCTTAATTTCCTTTTGCCTTCCAAGAGGGGAAGTCATATTTCAAAATAAAACGAGTGATACAAAATATTTTGATTGATAGCTGTAATGGGTTTGGAATTCCATCTACAATATTAATTGTTAATATTAGTTGACACATTGCATTTGAAGAGTTGTATTTATGTGTTGAATAGCACGACTGTTTTTGTCACGCTATAAGTCATTGATGAAACCCCTTCTCCCCTGTTCAGTGTTGTCTCCATGAAGCAAGGGGTTCCCAGAATCTTGATACATTGATTGTTTTTAGGGGGAAAGGGGCAAATAGGTTAATTTAACAAGACAAAAGACATAAAATTGAAGTAATGCAGGTTTGAAAAGGTCATTGTACCAACAATTGTCACCATTTGTAGCTGGAAAGGTGGAAGGTGAGAACCAATTGTTTCCCAGAAATATACACTTATGTAAATCTTTCTACTTCCTGGAAGGTTTTAAAACTGCACACTGATTGGAATAGTAGGCAGCAAGTGAACTTGGACTCTTACTGTATTTCCTTCAATGAGCACATGGGTGCTTATTTAAAAATTCAGCTGAAAGGAGGGGTGCTTTTTGGAAGAAGGGCACTCTAGGGAGGGGCTGGGGGCTTCTTATTCCCCTCTACTGACTCTGCTGAAGTTGAAGCTTAACATGTTACAAATATTAGAAATAGAACCAGGTTTTTAGGGGCAATGGAGTATTGCAATGCCTCTTCTTTCTTTCTACCATTATAGATGGAACTTTGCTATTCTCTGGGTCAAGAGACAACTGTGTAAGACTGTGGGATACTACAAAGAACACAAGTATCAGTGAAAAAGAAGTATCCAGAAATCTGGTAAGTTTTACTGCTGGATTGATGGACAGATTTAATAAAAACTGACTTTTGTCAGGCCAAGTTGTTCATTTTGTGATGTTGCTATATTTATTGAAAAAAAAAAAAAAAAGAAAAAAAAGTAAGAAACAGGTGAAATACAATATAAAGGTACTCTTACTGTGTAATTTATAACTTACTGTGATGATGAAATAAATTATTACGGTTTAGTTGTTTGTTTGATTTAGGTGAGTTGTGTGAAATGGATACCTGGAACACAGGCTCAAGTTGCTCAAACCGGAGAAGACAAAATGGTGAGGTAAAGAATGGAAGATTATCCTTTTTATTTTATCTGACAGTGATGTCATAAAACAGACTCTTGGTTGGAGTAAGGTCTTCCTGTGGATATCCTTCCACTTAGAGACAAACAGAACAGATCAACAGTACCAATGCAATAGCAACTGCTGATTAGGTATCTAAACAGACAGTATTGCAGCCTCAAAGAATCAGCTACATGTACTCATCTTGGTTAAAGATCCATACATTATAAATCCAACTGGTGGTTGGACAAGTGATGAGAATAAAGGAAAATATAAATTAGGAGATCATTAGTTGATCCAATACCAAATTCTCTGAACTAACATCATAAGAATTGTATGGCAGACAGTAAGGAGAAATACCGATGAGATTTTGGCAGTGAAAGGGTTAATATTCTTGATTCAATTTCTGCATATACTGTGTATGTTACTAGCTGAATTCAGCTTACTGAAATTTCTTAATGGTAAAAAAGCTTCCAGCACCTTTTTCTCCTGGAGCAGCCTTTTCACATTGTGTATGTTCCAATTTATGGGTATCTTTTACCCCTGTGAGAGGTTTTTGATTTTGTAAAATATTGGTGCAATTGTCATTTATGTATTTATAAATATGTATGTTTTTTTTTTCTGCATCAGGATTTGGGATACAAGAAACATGCAACCTTCATTTACATTTCCTGCTCAGCAGTACTTCCAGGTATTTCACTTCTTTGGAAAATAGAATTTTGGCATGTTGTTTTTTACTCAATACCAGTTGCTTTTGCTTTTGATTTGTTGTACCTAACTAACAAATTTGTCAATTAATAAAAAAAATCCTTAGCCATTAAGTCAAATTTGGGTTGTTAATGTCAACTTAAAAGGTGTTTGTACCTCTTCTGTCATGTTAATTCCTTTAGGGATTCCTGTAGGGCTATTCATGTCAGATTGTATTTATTAATCAAATTATTAATGTTTTGAAGACATGCTGTGATTGTTCAAGAGATGGGCAGTTTATTTTGACATGTAGTAATGGTTTCAATGGAAAAGGCTGTGAAGCTACGGTGAGTTATGTTTCTTTTCCCTTTCAAAGCATGTTTGATGTTCTGAAAGTGTTGTTCATTTTTGCTGTTAAAATACAAAAAAACAAAACAAAACAAACAGAAAAAAACTGGCCTTTATCTGGACGTCTTTGGGTTAAACTTAGAAAGGGAAGTCTCACCTCTACTGGTTGTGCTCTCATATATAGTATCACTCAAACATTATATTATTTTTCACCAAATACTGTAGGCTTTTTTATTTTTATACGGTAAAATAACCCTCCTCCCTGTTCTTCTTCTTCTGTAGCTCAGTGAAAGTACAATGTGCTATTTTTTTTTTTGTTGAACAGCTTTGGGATGTAAGGGCAAAGGGAATGGTCTGTAGATACTTCGGCCATCAGCAGACTACATCAGCATGTATTTTTCTTCCTCATCTGGAACATGTTTCGTCAAAATATTTGTAAGTAGTGAGACTCACACAATATACTCTCTTTTCAGATGAGCAAATTGTGTGCCTGAATGTTCAAAATTTAACTAAATGTTGATTTTTTTTGTTGTTGTTAGAATTGCTACTGCCTCACATGATTCCACAGTGAAAATTTGGGAGAAAGATAGCACAGGTAAAGCAAGATTCTGACCTATTGTTCAGGGTAGCTTACTGCAGAGGGTGTCTCTTTTAAAATTTTTTCAGGTAACCTTTCAATGGATTCATTCATAATGTACATCAGCATAACAAATTTGAAATTAACCTTTCTTTCTTACCTGATACCTCTGAGATCTATCTGTAAGGCATTCAAACCCAACTAAACAAATTATATGAAACTAATGACTCGTACTATAAGTTTAGGAATTGCTTGCATAGGAAGCCCTCTGAGTTTGTAAAGTATTGTGGCAGGTTATCATGGCAGGTTCATCAAGTGCTATGATTTGTATCTAGCACTTGCACTCCACAGAGAGAGAAGAGATAATAGTGCTTGAAGTGTTTTTACACTGGGTGTTCAAAGAAATTTTTATGTTTTAAAATTAACAGAATGCCTTGCAACTCTTGATTTTTCTGGAGCTGGTCCACTGACTGATCTCTGTGCATGGGATGATGGAAGGTCAGAATTACATTGATTACTAGTTATTTATGACAGATTGAGCAATTTTATTTGCCATCTTGACCATTTCAAGTTTCAAGTCTGAATGGCCTCAGAAAATTTTATAGCTGTGATAGTTAACAGTTCCATGCAGTATTTGTCTACTATTTCACTTACACAATTTTACCTCTTAGTTCTTATCAAACTAATCTTTCAAACCATGGATGAAAAAAAGTAACGTTTACCCTCTGCTGTTTCATGTGCATAATTCATCTTAAAAATATCAACATGTGTTTTGCATGTATGCCGAACAACAACCCCCCTTCCCGACAGTATTATTGACATTCTGGTAATTTAGCGTTACTTGTAAGGTAATATGCCATAAATATGTTTTAAAATGATGTTCTTTGTGTTCTTGACTAACAGTTTATGTGTTTCTACAACAAACATGGGTGTGTACCAGTGTGTCTTGGAGTCTCGTGAAGGCAAACCTGAGCTCATCAAGAAACGCCAGTTTTAGCTAGGCTTCTAAAGCTTTCTATAATTATATTTTTTATTCAAGAGACAAAAAGGAGTAAAGTGGGAATTTTCAATCCAGATCTCTTTTATTTGTTTAGTTTCCTTTTATTTGTCATTTAGGTTTTTCAACACAGTGTACATAAAAATACAAATTGCTTCTGTCAATAAAATGCTTAAGTTACGTTTCTCTTAGAATTGAACCATTTTGATCGATAGATCCAGAAGGTGACATCTCAGAATTGTATAAATAAGACATAATACCGGGGTGTATGGGGCAGAGCAAAAGCTTCGTTGAATATGTATGGACGTATAGCATTAAAAATAATACATCTTAAAAGCTGCATGAGTGATAGTTTGTCTTTGGCACTAGCATTGTCACATTTGACAAGGTAACAAAACCTCATTTTAAGATACACGACATGCCTTAATCCTTAGGAATTGAGTAAGGAAGTTTACATCATGCAAATACAAATCTTGCATTTTTATGGTCTCCTATGGATGTGAAGCCACAATGTTGTCCTGTTGAGTGAGTGAGTGTAACAATAGAATACGAACGACCTCTAGGCCCTGTTACAACAAAGTCTGCTAAGTTTTACCCGATATTCCTTGCTCTTGGCTTGTGTTTGTTTCGAAACATCTTCGGTCGTTCAACCCATGGTAACGATTTCTTCTATTCGCTTCCAGTGTTGCTCGGAATTAGCACGCTATCACACTGTTTAATGATGCTAGTTATTGTTTGTTTCGGAGTACTACAGAAGACGATAAACATTACGCATTAATTTCAGGATGGTGCGTGAAAAATCAAAGCTTTACCTTACAGAAATGTCGTAAAAAGAGTGATCGGCGCATCGCAAAAACTTACAGGAGAAAACTTTTTTTCGTGGGGAGAGCATTTTACCATTCGAATCAGCACATTATGTCCAGTTGATCCGAAGATGTAATTTTCCAGGTCTTCTTGTGACAGTACATTAGATTTGTGCGTCTCTGGCACGTGATTTAAAACGAGACTTTTCCTTAGAGAAATACCCAATTAAGTTTGATTTGGTTGGCGCGAAAAATATATCTGGCATGGTACATTGATTTGCACATCATGGAAATTTTAAAGAAAAAAATTTCATTATTCGAACAAAGAGTATTTTGACCATTCCGATCAGCGACTAATGGCCCAAAGCACCACTAAAATTGCGATTTTAGACACTAGTAGCCGGTTTTGGATTTTGGACACCAGTAGCCGATTTTGGATTTGGACACTAGTGGCCGATTTGCGTCTTTGGACGCTATTGGCCAAACACGCAGAATGCCTTGTTGTGGGAAACAAAAGTCTTGCAAAAATGGAATTGCAATTAGATAGGAAAATTATCTATAATTAACAGGCAAAATTAAAAAATGTAAAGAAACCTAGATTAATCATTATTGGAGCTTAGAAGATAGACCGATAGAGGAACAGTGAGGTTTTTGAGCTAGCTTCTATGGAGGTTTTGTACAGCAGCCATGTAAGATGGCAGGAACAATGAAAATATTTTGCATAAGAAAGAAAAAATTTTCCCATGGGTAAAATACTCTATTGTTCTTGCCATCCAACATGGCTGCTGTGCAAAACCTCTATAAGTTATCATTAATATTGCTATTGTTATCATCATCATTATTATTTTGTTAATATGATTATTTGTTAGTATCTAATTATTGGTTGAGTGTAAATTTGTCACTATTTTCTTGAATCATCTTTCTTTTGTGGAACAGGGTACTCATAAATATGTGGGATGCGGCATATGCAGTCTGAACTGCCATTATTTGTCAAATTCTGTGAGGGAGATGTTAAGAGATAGGTAAGTAGGCCTTTATAGATTGTGCTAGTAAAAGTAGCATATGCTAGTAGCATTGCTTTTCTTTTTTGGCGAAATTATGCTAAAATTATGCTCTTTTTTCCAAATTGTGCCCCTTTTTTTTAATTATGCTCTTTGAAAAAATTGCGAATAAGTCCAAAAAATACATTTTTTAATTAGAAGCCATTGGTCTACAAGAAAGAAACGCAACAAATCCATAATGAAATTCAAATAAACATGTGGTTCATGTTAACCAGGGCTCAGACCGTTTCAGACGCCTCTCAGTGATTCACAGTGAACTACAAATGCTACTACTTGAACTAAATCTTAAAACATCGAATAACGTCACCAAGTGCTTGGGAGTAGGCAGACAGACAGACAGACATCTATATTTATACAGGATAGCCCCTTCAGTGTAGTAAACACTGTTATCAACGGGGGTCCTGTTAACCACCCATCCCAACCCCAGGGGAGGACATCCATCACACAGTAATCTCGTGCGTGGGAAATTAACGGAGACTGATGAACAATTGTGAAATGTTCAGCAGGCAACCGTGGACGATACTCCTACTCTTGTACGTTGGATCAGCGATGATCTGATCGGCCTAAAATAACGAATATGAAATATAAATATAGAGGCAACACCGATACAACGTAGATAAGTAAATTTTAAGACGGAGCACTATATTTCGGCTGGCCAAACCAGCCTTCTTCAGGTGCAGTGGGAATTAACAGAGAATTGGGGTGATGCTTCATAGATAGCTGTATGATGTAACAGCGGAAATATGTAAAACTAATTTGATTGACAATGAGATAACAATAAAAATAGAAATAGTGAGCAAAAATAGAAATGAAGTAAGGTAAATTGGATAAATAACTAGAAACTAATACATTTCTTCGCGAGCGTTAAGGCCATCTGGATAAATAGTGTTGCCTCTTGAAATTAAAAAAGCTTCCCTGGCCTTGCGTATCGAGTCTCTCTTGGAAAACACTTTTTCGATGGCGATTAGCTCCATGTCGTGAGCAGAGTGGTTAGGAGAGGAAATGAAGTGTTCTGCCGCTGTAGTAGGTTTAGATTTAGAGTTAGGTTTATCAATGGTACGGCGGTGTTCATTAAAACGGTCTTTTAAACGTCGTTTAGTTTCTCCTATGTATTGTAAGTTACAGCGGTTACACTGAATTAAGTAGATAATCTTTTACTAGCATAATCTATAAATGCCTACTTGGGAGTAGAGATGAACAATGATCAAATTGTAGCATCAAAAATGATCCGATAATTATCAAAATATGCGAATTATGTTAGCACTGCTTCTTGGCAGAAATTATGCCAGTTTCCTCAAATTATGCCAAAAATTATGCTAGCATAATCTATAAAGGCCTATAGGTCAGACTAGAACCTGAATTTTCCTTATCCTTTACGCGATTTATCGCGTGATCTTGTTGAGTGGCGTGACAAAATAGCGCGCGAGCCCACCATACGTCAGCAGTTTACGTGTTTTAAAATACCAAGATGGCGGAGTACTTTGACGAAGTTGTGCTAGATGCTGAGGACTTGGAGAAACTCTTTCAAGCTGCGGCAGAGTTTGTCAGAACTATAAAGAATTTAAGTGATGAGAAAAAATTGACTTTCTATGCTCTTTACAAACAGGTGTGTACTATATCTAGACATGAATTCCGTTAGTTGCACACACCTAAAAAAATCACCGGACTTACAAGCTAAACCACCAATTAATTTATCTTATTAAACGTTTTGTTGTGTAGTATCGCCTGAGTATTTTTACGAGTAGTGCTGTATTGTAACGAGCCCCTAGGGTGAGTCAAAGTACAAACAATGGGTAAAAATAATTAGCGATGCTACACAACAAAACGTTTAATAGGAGATTTATCATCCAACACGCCAAATTGTTATTTCAGTGCGGGCGAATTTCTCACCGATTCTCTAAGTACGAATACCGCGTGTTATAACCCACCCATTAATTTTGGCGCGATTTTATTGGTTACTTTACGTCACGTGGCGCAAAATCACAGGACAGTTATCAAGCAATAAGCCCCGTTCGCGTTGATATTTGTCCTCCGATTTTTTCCGTGAAAAAGAAACAGTCAACACAACACTTTTCCATTTTCCTATTTACATGGAAGGAAACCAAACTGGTTTTTTTTTTTTTGCTTGCTTGCATCAATCACACGCATTCGCTATCAGATCACCACTGGCTTTTTTACTGTGTTTACGCGCAGTTTAATTGCAACATGAAAATTAATGGGAGGGTTATAAAATAAATAAACCCCGTTCTGGCTTGCCGGTATGTCGGCTGATAATGTCCTTGGCTGAGAGATTGTCCTCAAAATTTCATATTTGCCCTCGAAGCTTTGCTTCTCGGCCAAATATTCATTTTTCGGACAATCTCTCAGCGGTGGACACTATCAGCCAACATACCAGCTGCCCAAAGGGGTTTATTTACTAAATATTTGTACTTGATTCGCCCATTATTTGTACTTTACGAATCACAGTTGGATAATAGAATAGATCATTCATCTGTTTAGAGACAAATATTTGATAAAAAAAAAATTTCCTCTCAAACTGCAAACCTTGTTGAAACGTGGGTCATTTTACATGACTCATGATCTGGTTTTGAAGTGGACATGATAAGAACTTGTTTTTTTACATCTCACTGTCCTTTGCTCAGTTGTACGTATTATTAGTCAGCAGAGTAATTTACTCGCTTGGAGTTATTTCTTGTTCTTGAAAGCTAGCCTTTGGTGGCCTTGTATTTTGCATTATGATTGAGTTATGGTAACCATTAAAGCCAAAAAACATTGAGCCTCGCACAAGCAAACTGAACAAGACATGAGGAGAGCATTGAGCCTCACACAAGCAATAGTGAACAAGAAATGAAGAGAGAAAAAGAGATCAAGGATATCAGTTCCAGTAAATGCAAAATTGAATGAGACAATGATCACAGGAGGTTATGTTTATTTAGGGTTTTACATGTTATTGAAATTCAAATCTGTTTTTTTTTTGTCCTCTTTTTTTTTTTTGTCTCAGGCTAAAGAAGGACCATGCAATACATCAAGACCAGGGTTTTGGGATATGATAGGCAAAGCCAAGTGGTAATCCCAATTTCCATCCTTTTTTTTTCATAAATTTATCCCAGACATGCCCCATTCATTCTGACACAGTGAAGTGCAAACCTAAGAAAAACATGTTGGAAAACGACCTTTTTCATATCTGGGAGCAATCTTCCTTTTTTCAGTTATTTCCCTTACACAGCAAAATAATCACTTTAGGAAAAAGATTTCATAAGAGACAAGTTTGCTTATTACCCAGATGACCCTTTAAGAGATAATTGCAGAATTTGGTCTAAAACAATCTTAGATCCCAAAGGTACCTGAGTATCACTTACAGTTGCTGGTGAAGGAATTGATTGAGATACCATAATTCCCTTCTGGTAGAATGTAATTACATGGAGTGAGGATACATTCCATGCATATTGTTTGTTTCAAACCTGCTCAGAAAACTTAACAGATTTTAACAATCAAAAATTGCTTCAAGTTTTTATGGAAATTTTAAGGATATAACCATTGATAAATGGATGTTGTCTTCTATCATGTTAGGGACTCTTGGAAAAAACTTGGAGACATGTCAAAGCAAGAAGCATTAGAACGTTACATACAGGAACTGTTTGAAACGGACCCTGAATGGGAAGCAAAATATGCTGTCACTGATGACTTGGTAGGTTACAGATTGAAAACTTATCAAATGAATGTTAACTCTACAAACTTTTTCTATTTTTTTTACCATGACTTTACCTGTTCATCTGCAATTTTCCTCATCAAGATTTATTCGTCATGTGTTTGTTAATCTAAAGTGGTCACAAGACTGCAATTTTTTTCTTAATTTTTCATTTAGACCCCAAAAGAAACTGATAAACCAACACACAAACAGACAATGGGTCTAGCTGTTAGCACACTCAGAGGAAATGAGGATGATATCATTAGGTCTGTATTAAAGTATGTGTTTTTTACAACATGGATAATTCATATGTTTTGGGCTATTTGTCTACACCAATCACAACCAGCCAATAATATCATGACAAAACTGACCAAAAAAGGCATTCAGTTTTCATGAATCAGACTTGTAATATTAATGCTGAGCTGACCAACATCTCTTCCCAACTTTGATGATGACTAACACTCGCATTGAGGAAACAGCAGTTCCTTTCTGGACAGATACCATACATGCAATCAGATCATGCCTTTAACCCTTATTGAGAGTTACTGGGTTCTAATTTTGTCTTATAGTACCATATAAAGGTCACGAGAATAAAGGAAATGATTACCAATTTCAGAAGCTCCTGATTGTCAAACAAATTCTCCTAATCAGTACCATAAGAAATGTAAAGTTAACAGTGTTGGGCTGCTAGGCTAAAATTAGGGTGTAAAGAGTTAACTGTTACTCCTTTTTTTTTTTAAAACCATCCACTTTAATTTATAATAACTGCAAGCTTAAATTATTCCTGTGTACAGTTGCACCTGTATTAAGCGGCACTGTATAAAGTGGTCAGTCCCTGCATTAAGCGGTCAGTTGTCAAAGTCCTGAATTTGCTTCCTATTAATAGGTAATCACATGGGGCTGAGTAAAATTAAGGATAATATCACGTGTGTTTTCAGAAGCTGTTGAAATTTCCCAAGTTACAAAGTGATGAGGGCAATTTCAGCAACTTCTAAAAACATAAGTGATATTAATCCTTAATTTTACGAGGACCATTGCGATTACTTGTTAATGAAATTGAGGGGAAAATTACTGAATTTCTGAATGTGCTTTTCAGTAATCAGTCATAGGAAGCCATTTAAAGTTGACAAAGAATCAAGGGCCACAAATGCACAAATGAGCTGAATGAAATTTTATTTTTGCACAAAGATACCAGGACTTTGGATAGGCTTTTGATTTTAGATATCTCTCCAGTGATGCCTGCATTACTTTCAGGCAGTCGGGCTCATATTCATCCCCGTTTTCTTTTCATAACTTGGCATTAAACTGCGCTAGTGTTTGGTTGAGGACTTTGCTCTCGTACTCTTCTAAATTTGCTTGGAAGTTTCTTTCATTTGCCTACTTTTTAAAAACGTTCTTCCAGTACTCCGTGCTTTTCCTCGTGTTTTTGTTTTCACTCCTGTCTTTTAATTCTTTGATATATTCCTAGTCAACTATCTCAAAACAAGACACCATTGTTACAGAAAATCTTCAGCAACAAATTTTCGATAGCATAAGCTGTTGCTAGGCAACCTGAGTACCAATCATGAGGTAGTAATTTTGCCCTCTTCTCCAGGAAAATTAAGAAAAAAAAAATAACCTATTCATTGACCAATCAGCATTGAGTAATTTTGCCCTCTATTTTATTCATCACTGTAATTTTCACCTCTGTTAAGTGGTCATGGTCACCTTTACTAACTCCCTGCTTGTACTGTCTTCCATCTGCAATGAATGGTCACTTAAGGTGGAACCATTAAAATAAAACTAAACAAAATCTTTCAAGTAACTTTTAATCCATTTTTCTCTCCCAAAATCAATGTTAGTTGTAATTTTTGAACAAGTTTTTGTAACTTGAGTGATCAATTAGGGCATGACATGACATTTTTATAATACCCCTAATCTGTTGAACCTGTATAAAACAGTCAACCTGCATCAAGTAGTCACCTGACCATTCCCATGGGTGACTGCTTAAATTAATACAGGTTTGACTGTGTGATAATCATGTTCATGCATGTATTGATGTTAGTCTGACCTGATGAGATCTTTGATTAAAAATGTTATTCTTTGAATGGTAGTGATGCTAACAAGTCAGTGTTTGACTGGTGCAAGGAAGGTAATGTTAAAAGGATGGATGTTCTTCTTAACAAAGGAGAAAACATTAATGCCAAGGATGAGCAGGTAAGCAACTTTGACAGTTTCAAAAATTTAATTCCTGAGCTGCAAATTTAGTTGCCTCCTTTGTAGCCAGTGTTATTGGGACTCATCCTGCATGGCTAGCCCAAGCAAAGCTGCATCATCAGTTTCTAGTTAGACTTTGTACCAATGAATACAGGAATGTGTGTTATCTGATCATTGTATTCTAGAGAGCAACACAACCAAACCTTAACTTTTTCTCTCTCTCTGTCAGAAATATAATCTGGGTGGTGACTTGCAGGAAATAAACATATTGGCATCCTGGTCATGCAGTTCTCACCTATCAATGATTAGGGCACATAGCATTTTTAAGTAGAATCTTGCAACATGGTTGAAATAAACGTTATTTTCCAGTTTATGTTATTCAAGAAACTTGGCTTGATCAGATATTATGTTTATATGGTCATGAAGGATGTGCTTTTTCTTAGGGTATGACTTTACTCCACTGGGCTTGTGACAGAGGCCATGAGGAGGTTGTAACATATCTAATAAAAAACAAGGCTGAGGTGAATACACAGGTAGGCACTTGTTGTCTTCTGGTTTTTAAGAATAAAACTATTTTAAGCTAAGCAAGGCATGCATTACACCATGGGTGAATTCTAAATGTGATATAATTATTTTTTAGGATGCTGATGGTCAGACACCTCTACACTATGGTAAATAACTTTAACTTAATTTTTGTTTACTTAATCATTTGAAGAAAAAAAAATCCATTGAACAGTGAGCTAAAGAAAAAAAGATGCAGACCTCAAAAGTGTGATGACTGAAATTCATTTAACAATAAGGTGGAAATGTAGTAGAGTAGAGTAGACATCTATATTTATACAGATAGCCCCTTCAGTGTGGTAAACACTGGTATCAACGGGGGTCCTGTTACCCACCATCCCATACCCACCCATCTCACAGTAATCTCGAACATGGGAAATTAATGTCTTCTGCCCCTAGCCCTGCAGGAGATGGGACTTCTTCTCAACTATTTTAAAACCCTGAGTGTTGGTTCGGCTGGGGCTTGAACCCTCGACCTCCCACACAATAGTCCAGTGCTCTATCCATTGAGCTAACCGGGAGGTGGTTAGCTCAATGGACTTCAATGTAACTTCAAGAAATTCAATAGTCCACAAAAGCTCATTTTATTTTTACCATTTTTATGTACTAAGGTTACCTTTGTTCAAAATTGCAGCTGCCACCTGTGATTTTCTGGTAATAGTAAAAGAACTCTTACAATGTGGAGGAGATTGTACAATTACCGACAGTGATGGCTGTCGCCCGGCTGATGTTGCAGAAAGTTCTGAATTGAAAGAACTACTGAATACATAAAAATTGCAAGTTTTTAACTACAGTTTAAAAAACATGTGAATGATTTTGCTTCCAAAGCTGAGAATATATTTATCGAGTCAAATTTAAGGCTCTAAATGCATTGAACATTTTAAATGCTTATTTTAGTTGTGAAAGAAAATTCCAAAATTATTTTTACTACAAGAATGTTAAACTTGTGTATATAAAAAGATGTCAAGGTTATTTCAAAAAGGTGAAAGAGTACCTCGTATCTTTGGTTTGTAATTATTTATTCAATTTCATTGTTAAGGTTCTGAAACCTGAAGCAATGTGTTTGTTATCAATAAATATCTTCAACAAATTTACAGAAAAAAAAGAGAGTGAAATGTTTGATTGTTTAATTTTCTACAAATTTTATTGGAAAAATAGCCCCTAATGCAATTAAAAAAATAGTTGAACAAAATCTAAATTTTTAACTCCCCTTAATATGCAACTTGATGAGTATCATCATGTTTATAATATTATTACTTAAAGAACCTCAAAATACTAGTGATGCAATGTCTCTTTGTGTTCCTTACATTCTATGGTTAAATTACTGCAAAAGCTACCAAATTTAATTGAATTAATGTCTTAAAGTATTGCTGCATACTGTCACTCAATCACTGATCCAGTGTTCTCACTTACTTAAAGAACAAAAGGTAAACGAAAATTTCAAACTGGTAGAACAAAATTTACACGTTCAATTTTTAAGAATTCCAACTGATTTTAGGCAGTTAGAAGTGGTACCACATATTATGTTCAAATCATTATTAAGTCCTCTGACATTATAACATTTTCCACATCATTAAGTCAGAGACACAAATTTTAATGACATTATTGAGTTTGTTTACATTGTTACCTTTCATGATATCATTAAGTTGGTAACATCATTAATTTTAAGACATCATTAAGTTAATATCATTGTCAATTATGAGACATTGTAAATTCTAACGACATTGTTAAATTGATACCAACTTCATTAACTTTTATGATATATTTTTTGTGCTGCAAACATGTAGTGAACTTAAATGTATGGAACCTGGCATGTACTGTGTGTGTGGCATGTACTGTGTGTGTGACATGTTAGGGAAAAAAAAAAACAAGAGTATGTTAAACTAATAGAGTTACAAAAGAGTGCCTAATAGGCTGAATGATTCTGCAGTTACTGCCTGAAAAGAGGAACATGGTGGTCAGTTATCTTCTTTCAGCCAGTCCAATAGTTGTGGAACAAAGTATGTTATGATGATGTCAGCACCTGAGAAACAAAAACAACATAAAACAGGTTAATTTTCATAAACATGGTCACTAGAGAAAAGTTAAGTGATTTCAATTTTAAGTTGTTGGAAATAACTTTATTCTTAGAGCTTGTTTTGTAATTATTACTAAACAGTAGTATTATGTGAGAACTAAACCATGAGCCACACCTGCCTCTAACAACAACTGAGGTTGACAACAGCAAGGTTATTAACAAGACATTAACTAACTATTAAATTAAGGACCTTTCAAAATTAAAATATTTTTATTTCTTGGAAAATCAGCCTCCATATCTTTGGAAGAGAGGGGGTTACACTTGTAAAGTGTATAAAACAATGAAAATTGAAAATATTTACCGGTACTGGTATTCAAAAGTACAATAGTATCATAGAAGCTTTTTATAATACAAAATTATTGTTATTACCTGCCCTTCTCATAGATGTTAAGCATTCTAGAACAATTGTCTTTAAGTCAAATGCTCCTGCCTTACTTCCATGATACAACATTGCAAACTCCCCTGAAACCTTTGGAAACAGGAGTGAACTAATTAGTGACGCTAATCTCCAACTGGGACCTTCTAGCAACAGTAATTATAAATAATTAGTAATTATAAATAATATTATTATAATGTTGATCTTTGTGTCTGTTCCCTTCCTCTCAGATTTGGGTGGTCTGTGAAAATTAACTCATCAGAAGTAACATGGTTCTAACTAATGTGTCCTTAATGAAAAATTTGCTTGAATTTCAAAGATTGATTGAAGTGTTTTGATACAAACCTGGTAAATTGCCAGTGGAAAATCAGGGAACTAGTGAAATAGATAAAAGTCAAGAAAATGTGTTAATGACAATCAATTCGAAGTTATGATGATTTTATTTTTATCTATAATTAGTGACTAAGTCTTGACTTGTAAATTGTTACAACTAAATTATTTGATAAAACCATTGCTCTTGGTAATACCTACGGTCCTTGTATTGGACTATGTGTGTGTGTGTTATATGTCTATCAATTAAAAACATTAATCTTCTGTATAATGGATAATACTTATCCTGCCTATTGTGTGTGTGTGTGTGTGTGTTACATGTCCATCAATTAAAAACATTAATCTTCTGTATAATGGATAATATTTATCCTGCCTATTGTGTGTGTGTGTGTGTTACATGTCCATCAATTGAAAACATTAATCTTCTGTATAATGGATAATATTTATCCTGCCTATTGTGTGTGTGTGTGTGT